GAGGCTACATGGGAGCTAGAATCAGACTTTAAAATCCAATATCCCCAGCTATTTTATTGAGAGTGAGAGATAAATTTGAGGGATCAAATTTCTTTTAAGGGGGGGAAAGTTATAACACCCCAAAATAAAATTGTATGGAATTTAAAATTAATAAATATAATTTTTAATTTATTTTTTTCATTTAATTTAGGGTAAAAATGAAGTAAAAATTGAAGGAGGATGAAATTGAAAACAATTTTGGGGAAAATGGATAAAAATTTGGGATGTGGGGGTATTTTTGAAAGAAAAATAAAAAACTGAAGGTCAAACTGCAATTTAGAAAAGTTCTGCCACGTGGGATGCCCGGTTAGCAACTCTGATCAATCAGGACTCGCCGCGTGGTAGCGGATGCTGACACCACGCGAGAGGCCACGCGGGCGATCCGCATGCCCACGATCGAACAACCCAAATCCGTTCCCGCCTCAAATGTGATCGGACAACTAGATTTGAACACGATTGGATGGCTTAGATTAGATCGCGATGGAAGGCTCAGATTGAATCGCGATGAATGGTCTAAATTCATTCCCTATTTAATCACGATCGGACGGTCCAGATCAAACGCGATGGATGACCCAGATAAAAAACGGACGGATATAAATAATCTCCATTCACATCAAACCCTAACTCTAGCCGCCAGAACTCCTCACCGGAGAAGAAAATCCAGCAGCCGGGAAGGAGACCACTGCCACCTGCTGCCGCACCGGAGAGTCCTGCTGCTGGTGAGTTTCAATTTTTCATATTTTTTTAGCCAACTAAGGCCCTTTAACGTGTTTTATCGCAGTGATCAATGCAGAATTGACCAAATTCGGCCAAAAATGGTCGAAAATAGCCGACCCAAGGCGGACGGTTGCTACGGGCAGTGGCGCTGTCACCGGAGCACACGGAGTCGCTGTGTCGGAATTTTGAAATTGGGCAAGTGGCTCCTGAGATTGATTTTGGATTTGTTTGGGATATTTGTAGGTACTATTAGCGCACTTCAATTTCTGAAGAAAAATTCAGGGAACCCGGGAATCGCCCTTAGGCGTAGTCGAATAGCTTAGCTTTTCGAGTATCAATTCGAGTAAGGGTCCCTCACCCTATTCCCTATCATAGAATTGAAGTCTAAATAAATAATAATACAATATTTGTATGAATTTAGAAAATGTGCATAATTAATTACGGATTGCTAATGGAGCCAGAACCGGAAATTATCTACTGTTACTTTATTGATTATTTTACAGTTTAAATGCATGATAGTACCTTATTAATTGAATTTATGACTTCGAATGCATGTATGATTTATTCTATGTGTTTGCTGCTGAATCGAAAAAAATGAAGGTTAAACGGTAAAAAATTGTGTGATGAAATAAATAGATGAAATGACAGTCTTACTAGATATTCTGGGAGATGGTGGACGGACTGGGTACATAGGAAACCCTACTGTGAACGTTGTCTCATACCGGACGAGGTATTGGGACGACCTGCTTCACCCTCATACCGGACGGAGTATTGAGGTTTGGTAAATTGACGCTCATATCGAACGGGGTATGAGAACGACTCGTAATTGAGAATGTTAAATAGAAGGGTTCACGTGTAGCGGGGACATCCTTATGAACCCCCATGAATACCAGCAGGCTGGTAAAAAGAGTGACAATTATTGTTTAATTTATTTATGATGGATATAAATTTATTATGTGTTATGATTGCTGATTATACATAGAATCATGATCTGTGTAATATTATTGTCTGTATAGATTATTTTTGTGAATCCCACTATGATAAGTGAATGGTAAATGATTTTTATGATTGATAAATGAATTTACTAAATTTAGTGCTCCATTAGTTGTATTGATTTTATACCAATCTTTACTTCTGTGTCGGTGATATAGTGTGATATCCTTACTGGGGTAGTGTAGCTCATCCCTTATTTAACCATTTCAGATTAAGATGATCAGGTTCTATAGCCCGATCCGTAAGAGAATTGTGAGTAGATGTTAGATTTCTTTATTTTCTGTTTATTTCCTTATTCTTGTGTTTATATCAAAAAGGTGAATTCTATAACACTATTTGGTACTGTAAGTTATTTTTGTAAGGAATGTAAACCCTGAACATTTATTACGCTTCTGCACTTTAATTATCTTTTATTTCATTTGAATATTTTCGGAGTCGTTACAAGACCAGTAAGAATATCATGTTTAGCACCGATACGGAAAATTAAATATTGATAAAAATCGTAACAACCAATGGAGCTATTATATATTTTTGAATAAATTCATTTAACATAAAAAATCATTATTTTCATTCTTACCTTTATGAGTTTTTAAAACCAATCTATGAAGGCAATAACTAGAATAATATTTTATTTCACATTTAAATAAACAATAGCAGTAAACTTACATTCTTGCTCGCTTACCAGTACCTCTGGGGGTCCATAGGGATCCCCCCTATGCATGGACTTAATATCCAATTTATTATTTAACCAGTCGTCCCCATACCCCCTTCGGTAATTGACGCTAAACATACCACTACCTCAATACCACGTTTGATATGAGGGTGAACTATAATTCTCAACCCCTTCTGGTATGGGACTTCTCAGCCCCGTTCGACTGAGATAATGTCCATGACAGAGTTTTTTATATGCACCGGGTTCGTACACCCTTCCCCAGGGTATCCGATAAATCTTTTATACATATATCCACATTATCAACCAATCGCCAATTACACACCAATATTTCATATTTACATATTAACAATAAGTCATGCAATAGACAATACAAAAATTAAGAAAACGTGATTAGGACATTTGCTTCAAATCAGTCGATAGGTGAGAATAATCAGTCAAACAATCAATGAACAAGAAGGTAATTAAAATAAATAAACAATAACAATTTAGACAATATAGGAGAAAATAAACAACATAGTTAGGGCAATTATATACTAACTGGTTCTGTTTTCACTAGTAATCTATAATTAATTTAGAGATTTTTAATTTTTATAAAACACCCATTATTAGTCATTAGACTTTAATTTACCGTAACGAAGGAAAATGGTGAGAGATTATTATCTTGAATCAGTGTTCGAAACGCTGTCTTTTTCACTGCGCTTCCGTCTCTCAAATTTCTTAGATTTTTCTTGTAGAAATCAAAAACACAAGTCACATGTCCCAATATACCCCAAAAAAATGCCAAAATGAGCGTTTTTGAATTTTTTTGGTCGGTTTAGGGTTCCGGCACGATGGCACCGGCTTCGCCGCCCACGGTAGCAGTTCTTCTCTGCTTGGTTCTTTTTGGTCAATTTTAGCCGATTTTGCGTGGAAACCTGTAAAAAGAATAGGGTTTGGGAGCCTCTATCGGCTAGAAAATGGGAAAATCGAGACCTTACCAGTGGAGGAGTTTTTCGGTGCAATGGCTCCACTGTTCCTCTCTTGTAGTCCTTCTCTTTGGCTAACCTACAACAAAATGAAATGAGGAAGACAATAATTAAAAAATCGAGGGAAACGGGAAACATGAAGGGGCTCATCAGAGGGTTTTTCGAGTTGCGGCCTTTGCAGCTCGGTTGAGCTTCGCTCGTTATTCCTGGCTCACCCTTTGGCCTTTTAGCTTCGATATGGGTGTGGGGAGGTTTGAAATCCAATTCTGACCAGAAGGAAAAAAATTTTACCTTTTTGGTGTCGGCGATGGCTCTGGTACGGCGATAGTGGCTGGTCTCCTTCTTCGGCGACTGGTTCGCTTTTCGGACGCCCCTCTCCTTCTTCTCTGATCTCCTCTCTGGTGGTTAGGGTTAGAGTTTTCTTTAGAGAGGATTTTAAATACTCATTTTCATTAAATCTGGGCTGTTCGTTTGAGAAGACGTGACATATCCTTTGTCGTTGGATTGCTCTTATTTTGAGACTTAATCTGGACCGCACGATCTGATCAATTCCAGCCGTTCGATTGTGTCTCAAGAGAAAACAGATCTAGGTCATCCATGGGCGCAAGATGCTATCTAGATTGTTGGATCTGCTGGCACGTGGATCGCTCGCGTGGCTTCCTACATAGACGCGTGTCCACGTGTCTGCCACGCAGTGCAAGGAGGCTGGTCGTGCTGCTGATGCCACGGTTTACGTTACCAAAGTTTTATTAATTTTATTTTTACCCTAGTTTTCAATTTTTTTTTTAAATAGGTACTCTCTTATTTCTATTTTGGTCTTAATTTTCGAAAATATTTTTAAATACATCGAAAACTCAATTTTCTTCAAAAATTTATAAAAAGATTAAAAAGTAATTTAATTTAATTATTATTCTATTAATATTAAATTATTTCGAGTCAAATTTTTGGATCCAGATGTTACAATATTATAAATCAAGATTAAATATTGATAAATTTAAAAGTTACACAAATGTGAAATTATCAATAACTTATTTTAAGAAAAATAACCGTTAGGGTAATGAGCCATATGTAACATAAATGTAAGTTATTTTCTTGAAAATATTAGAAAAATGCACAAAATTGTTTGCCTATTATCAATCAAAATTGTCAAATTGACATCAATTATAAAAGAATATAAATAAGCAAAGAAAAAAGGAGCATTAGAAAATTCAACTTTGATATACATACACATATATATACACAAATATATTATTTATATAATTAATATAATAGCAGGGAAATTAGGTGACACGATATAGTTTTTTTTTAATTTAATTATTTTCGTAAAAAAGAATTGATAATTAAGTTAATTAAATGATTGATTATGTTTTCTTCCTTAATTAAATGATTTGATTACTCCAATGTCAAACTGAAATTTTGAACTCTCTTAAATAATTAATCAGAAAACTACTTTTATCATCTACTTTAGATAAGATTTTTCCTTCGTTAATAAATTAAATCTTCGAAAAGATGTTTCCTTTATTAAGCGCGTGACTTTAGCCACGTGGCAGCAGTACAAAGACGGTGCGCATTCCGCCCATAATTAATAAATGGCAGGCCAAAGCCCAACCCTTTGGAGCATCTTCGTCTCTTTCCTCCTTTACCTTTGAAAAATCTTTAGCTTTGGATTCAATTTACTTCTCTCGCCAAATCCACCAGCCTCCGTCAAATCTCCAAAAGAAGAAAGAAAAAGAAAAGAGAAAATTTCAATCTTTGTTGGTTAGAAATTCCAGAAGCGAACTCGATTCTAGGCATCGATGGCTTACGTCGACCATGCCTTCTCGATTTCGGACGAGGACATAATGATGGAGACATCTTATGCTGTCAACAATCGGCCGCCAATAAAGGAGATCTCCCTCGCCGTTGCTCTTCTCGTATTTGGAACCCTTGGGATTGTCTCCGGCATCATCATGGCCTACAATAGAGTCGGTGGTGACCGAGGGCATGGTACGTTACTAAAAATGCTAAATAATTTCCTTGTTTTCCTCTTTCTTCGTTGTGTTTCATCTGGTAGCTAGTTAGCACCTGTTTGGTTGCTCGGAAAGTAAGGGAAAATGAAAGAGAACCGGTGTACTCTCTTTTCTCTTTAGCACTTGGATTGTTAGAGAAATTGCCTCTTTCTTAGGTTTTCTATTTTCTCCGTACTCGCGAAACAAAAACCGCTAATTAGTTTGCGGTAATAAATTTTGGGACGGCGATTTAAAGAAAGGAAATTTTGGATTCTTAGACAGCAGAAGAGTAACTACTCAGGCATTAAGTAGGAAGCAGGATTTTTTTTTTTTCTAAAAAAAATATTTCAGTGAATAATTATGGATTCAGCTTCTAATTGAGATTTTGTTTTGACGATGAATCAGGGATTTTCTTCACTGTGCTGGGTTGCATTTTGTTTCTTCCGGGGTTTTACTATACACGGATAGCATATTATGCTTACAAGGGATACAAAGGCTTTTCTTTTTCCAACATACCCCCTGTCTAGTGGATGAATACCTAAAGCTCTTCGTGCTTGGCCACATCTGTACAGCTATCTCATTACAGTCTTCCTTTTTGTTTTCTTTCCCTGTAATCTTGTCTAGGTCTGGTTTGATGATAATGTGTATTCAGATTCAGTTGCTAAAGATTTGGACCTTGGTTGTTTGATTTCCTGTTGCAATATAGTTGTGAACTCATTAACATTAACAAGTTATGTTGATTACTGTATTAGAATCTTCCTGTCATACTTTTGATCAATCAGTGTTTGTTAGCCAGATTTTGTTTGTGTAAAGCTCGCCTCTCCTGCAAGAATAGCAGAGGTTATATACTCTCTAAGCTGTATATCTTTACACTTGATATAATATGTTTGATAGAGGTTTGGAATGCCTTTTCTATGAGAATTTATGACTGCTGCAGATAATAGGGGGCAGGTACTGTAGTTTGTTTCCTATAATGTGAATAGCATTGTTCAGTGTACTAGTACCAGATATCTATTCAACAAACCATTTTGTGTGAGCATTTGAGCTTCTGTTAGCGTGAATTCACCAGATCAAACTCATGAGTTATGCTCCTGCTTTGCCATCTTTATAATTCACAAGGAATACTTCAAATGCCTCTTGTTTTGAGTTTCTTGAACGAGGTGAAGTATTGTGGGGAATGATACGCTTCCCTTTCCCAAATGGTTTATCAAATTAGATAAAACTGACTTTAGACATCTAGAACTTCATATTTCGTTTTCACTTTTCAGCCCCTCCCCACTTTTTCTACTTGGTGTTTTGAGGAAGAGGGAGGGGCTGAGGATTGCAATCTATTTTCTGTTATCTGAAATGAACAAAGAGTATTCCAGTTAGGTGGTGTGAGGCTGAGTCTGTAAATGATTTACCTCTTATACTGGATATTCTGGTTTCTTTGGACTTCAGACAGACATAAGTTGTCTTGGCCCTTCTCACAACATTGCAAGGGTCAATTGAAAACAATTCCCCTGCTGTTTTAAGTAAAAGAAAGGTGTTGTTCTTGTTACAGGTGAGTACCTTCTATTCTTCTAATTTATTTCAAATTGCTCACTCCAGGTGAAACTCCTGAATTATGTTATGATCAGGAGTGAAAACTGTCTTGAGAGTCACCCCTGAGTGCCTCTGTTCTTGAAAACTTATGGATTGATGATTTGAATACTGGTCTCAAATGAGGCTCAGACTTAAGATGATCATCGTTAGATAAAAGCTTGGCTTTAGTTATGCATGATTATTGACATGATGTTATTGTATTCTAAAATTAAAAGGACGAAAAGATTTGTGAGGAGAGTGGGACTTGAACCAACTCGGACCAGAATCTTAATCTGGCACCTTAGACCAACCCGGCCATATCCACTTGAATATATTTACCGAAGATACAGAACCTGAATATATTTAAATGTATGGTTGGAAGGAAGTGAAGTTGAGTTTAGTTTAGTTGGTCGAGTGGGTCTCAAGGATATTGGTAGCTCTTATTCGATTGTGGCAGGACAAGGCATATAAGTAGTAGAATGTTAATGGAATGTATGGGTGAACATCGTTCTGATCTCTCTCTCTCTCTCCAAGTAACATAACCATTAGAGCTAATGTTCAAGGCTATGTACATTTGCTAATGAGATACATTTCCTCAATAATAAAATTATGATTCACTCCTGGAGATAAAGAAAGAAAATATTTTATGGATTGATGATTTGCATACTAATCTCAAGAGCTTCAAACTTCAAGGAGATGCCAAAAGAAATATTATAAACAAGACACTAAGGAGATGCCAAAAGAAAGAAAAAATATGTAGAAGTTCATAGATGTTCTCCAGATTTAACAAGAGGATCATCGGTAAGTAAAAGCTTGGCTTTAGTTGATAATGCTTGATTATTGAAATGGTATTACCATATCCTAAAAGGAAAATGGATAAGAAATTATGTGGAGAGTGAGATTTGAACTCAGTCACTTTCGGACCAGACCCGACCCTTGATCAAACGCCTTGATCTCCATGTCCTTCTGTTATTTAGTTGTTCTTTTCTCAATCTGAAATCTATGAGAAACAAAATATTTAGTTGAATATTATTTCTGTATATTTAAATTGTAATTAGTTTAGTCACCCTAATTAATAACTAATAACGTGGTTAACTCAAGATCTTTCTATTGGCTTTTAGGCTTATTATTCAATAACAAATACTAATATTATGACACTCTAGATAGTTTTAATATGATAAGAAGGTAATCACATGCTTCTACAAATATTTAGCATGACCATCATTGTAATAACCTTTAAATTTTTTTCCAAGAAAAAATCTGCCAATACAAATACAATAGCCGATAAGCCAATGCTTTGGTGAGTTGAGGAAACATATTGGGATGCCATTGTCAATAATATCATCTTAGACAAAAGAATTTTAAGAAAGAAGCAAAAAGGAGAATATGCTTTTAAGATGAGTGATATAAATAATTGGTTACAACATATTACAAACTCAAATTTGTGAATAATTAACGAGAGTTACACCAAACAAAAAGCACATTAAAATACCCGAGACGAGACAGATAGGAAGTCTTTTTCAATTTTTAACTGAAAAAAAAAATTATATATTAGAACAAACATTATATGATATTGATGCAGTCATAAATTTAAACTAAACTATATTTAAAAATATATATATATATATCAAAATTTAGTAGAATTTATTTAAAAATAATAAATAAAACTTAATTTAATTTGATCATGAGAGAATTTTCCTTACAAAAATTGTTTTCACAAGGAGAATTTAATTCTTATAATCTTGATGTAAATAATTTATATTTAACCAGACATATAGATGTCAATGATTATTATATTAAGTTAATTGTGATATTGAATTATGAAATTCGAATATTATTTATATTTAAATTAAAATAATGAAGACGTTCTTTATATATTGGAATTTCATGTAACACCCACAATTTCTTTTTTTGGGGGAAAAAAAAATTAATAAATACAAATTTTTATTTCTTTATTATTTTATTTTGTATTATTGTACTTTATTTTATTTAATTTAGAGTAAAAAAAATGGATTAAAATGTGAGAAGAATTTAATTGAAAATAATTTAGAAAAAAATGGGTGAAATTTTGAGTTATGAGAGTATTTTTAAAAGAAAAATTAAAAAATAGGGGCCAATTTGGGAAGTTTCGCCATGTCATATGCTAAGTCAGCAGTCCTGACCAACCAGGACGCTCCAAGTGGCAGAGGCGTTGATGCAGGATGCCACGCGGGGTGATTATCATTCTCC